TTTTTTTTTTGGTTAAACAAAGTTAAAATAAGATCTTTGTCAAATTACGTCAGTTGCTTTTTCAATCCTGCCACTTGTCCCATTGATGAAGGGGAATCTATGTGACACTGAAACAAGTTTCAGTTTTTTATAAATGTTAGTATTTGTCATTTTAAACTTAGTTTTTTATTTAATTTTATAAAAAAGACACTTTTTTGCGAATAATTTGAGTTTGTTGTAGCAATTCATGAATGTTAAGTTATGATTTACCTATTTTTATCCAATGCGATTTATGAAAATGGTGCAAAATATCAATGAGAATAAAAATATCAATCTTTCAATAGAAATGGTACAAACGACATTTGATTGACTTATTTCACTTTGTGAAACAGCCTCTTGCTTGAAGATCTCTATCTGACTCTCTTGACCTCTCTCTTTAACATCTCTATCCGAAAAATTCTTCACAGCAAATTAGTATATATAGTTTAAAATTATAGTTTTACCTTGTGTTTTAGACTGGTAAATGAACTGTAGCTTTTTTATTTTCCTTAGTTTAAAAAAAAAAATTTTTTTAAAAAAATACTTTAAAAAAACGTAGGTCACGTGACGACGAACTGCATTTAACGTTATTTGTTCAAAGTGTGTTCTTTTTCTTAAATTTCTGATTCAATTTACGTATTTAAATGTTTTTCTAACGGGCAAAGAGAGATAGGAGCTTTCAAATTAGAAAAGTATTTCTGAATTGGTTATTAACTCAGGTGTAAAATGCAAGGCTTTAATCAACTATATCAAATACAAAAGAAAATCAACAATGTCAAATGTAAAAAAATAATAAACTGAGATATTTATAGCAAGAGTCGGCAATTTTTCCCTACATTGTTTAGAAAAAAAATTGTTATAGCCATTTTCTTGAATTATATTTGGTATTAAAAATTCCATGTCAAAATGTTTTCTACAGTAATTCGATTATTTAATTTTAAGATGAAAAAATTTTAAAAAAAATGGATCGAAGCCATTTCCAAACGGATTAGTTTAGTTTTATTTAAACTGATATTATAAACTGATTATTATGTAACTGACTTTAAACTGATTCTAATAAACACCCATTCATTTAAACGTATGACTGACTCGCTAATTTTCTATCCTCGGTAATCTCTACTTTTATTCACTCGCTATAACAAGATAAATGTTTGATAGTAACAATTGCATAATATTAAATGATTTTAATAGTTGTCAATGTTCTTTCTCCTCAGACTATGTCAGAAATTGAAACATATCACTTGACTACAATGATGGATTCAATTAATTGATACAATATTGTGGCTGTTAATGACAACACATTTACACTATTTTTTTATAGATAAAACACATTCTAATTGGTTTCTATGAGCAATCTTATTGATAGGTTATGAATTTTCAGTTACGGGTAATTAAAGTCACTACAACAAAGATAAACTACAGATATACATATTCCATTGACATAAAAAAAAATGCTAGTTTAAAAGATTTGCCATTCATAACGCACATGTGATTACCTCTTTTAAGTAATTCGCTTTTTAAACAAACATTTCATAACGTTAAGCAGAAGTTTATCATCACTTTATAAGCCTAAAAATTAAAAAAAAAAAAAACACGGAAAAATATACCTATGGATTGAAATATATGAAGCTATTGATTTACGTTTAAGCATATAGTATTTTGAATTAAATAATAAAAAAACGTTTCATTTCATACCTTAAGATATAAACCATAGATGAAATTATAATATCACTAGGCATCTTCATTTTCAAAAGATGGTGATACTTCTTTACGTCCCCAAACTCTGGAGCAATTGCTGTCGATGCAACAGTAGTCATTTGCAATGGTTGGGTCAAATCTGCCAGTGGATGCACGATGTCTCCCGCATCATCTACCAAAAAACCCACAACGTCATCTGGTGCAGGTAATTGCTGTTTCTCAGCTATTGTTCCTGTTAAGAAATTCGAAACATCCATGGCAGCCTTTTCTCTGCTATTGCAAGTGTCAAATACGACAAGTCCCAGATCAATGCCCGGCAGAATGGTGGGATCCGAGTTGATGATTTTCAATGCCCACTGAAGTGACTGGAAATTTTGAAATCCTCGGTTAACTCTGATTGGACCACACGTTAAGGGATTAGACGTTGATTCGTGGATGCCTTGAGCAACAGCAATGTAGATCCCTTGAGTGGATGGAATCGTAAGATAGTTTGGAGATGCATGTTGGCAACGATAACAGTCTTTGATGCAAGTGGATAGAATGGATTCCATAGGTACTTCACCACTAGGGGTATAAGCCATCATGTCAGCTAGTTTCGTATATTGTCCTTCGAAAGAGCCAACCTAAAACATTTTTGTTCATAGTTACTATAAAAAAATACTATATAAAAGTTACTATAAAAAATGAACGCGTGGTTTCAGATAACTTTAGAAATACAAATTTGGTGATATAATCCGCCACGCTGATATCGATCATTGTATTTCTCGGCCATAGTGAATAAAAAATAATTAAATATTAAAGTGCCTGCAATAAACTCCTTTTTTTATTAAATAGAGCTATAAACTAGCAAAGATNAAAGTTTAGGATCTGTAGTTTAATTTAAAACAATGGCTAAACTGCCAACCAATGAGAAAATTCCATTTTCAAGCAGCTTTTCTGAATGACATAATTGAAAGTTTCTAAAGAATTTTGGCATCGGGGGCTAAAATTGTCCCTTGTGACCGCTGTCCAAATTTCAGGACGATAGAACAAACGGTTAAGTTCTAAAACTGACACAAACACAAGCAAACTCTTCATTTTGTAATTATAGATTAATGAAATTAACATATCATTTATTTATCATTTTGTAATTATAGATTAATGAAATTAACTTATCATACATTTAAAGAATCAAGTCAAAATAATCAACAAATTAGTATAAAATAAGATCAAATAATTAACAGATAAATAAGAATAAAAAAAAAACTTTTGAAACCATTAATGTGCACAGTACCTAGAAAACACTCGATTTTGAACTCTGATCTGCAGATAAGCTAGGTATTGTGCATATTAACGGTTTTTGAGCTTTTGCCGTAACGGATATTATAATTCAAACTTGAACTGATTTTTCTGTGAGTGCAGTTTTGATTTAAAATAAGATTATCATGTTATTGATGTAAGTATTCTTACCTTAAGGTAGTTTATATCGCCCCCTGTAACCTTTCTGTAGTTGTATACTTCTATGGGAGTGGCTCCAAATCTCCTCTCATTAAATTGAAATGCCTGTCCTGGATGATCTAGGCGAGGTGACTTACTTGTAGCGATATGTTCTCCAACTAGGCGTAAAAGATGTGGATGTCTGATCATTTCGGAACATACTCCAAATTCAATCTAAATGGAACAAAAGGGGGATAATTAGCAACCAAAGGGGTGATTATATTTTCGTGGACCATCTTCTAAAAAAAATTATGAATTTTTATTCATGCATGACCAGTATCGAAATCTGAGGTCTTTATGTAGAATATATAGTTCTCCATATTCAGAAAATAATGAATATTTTACTATTATAATTTTAAGTTTAAAAATATACCAATTCATGTTAAAAAGAGAAACTATTTTTGTTAAATTGAAGGGTTTGTGACAGTACAATAACAAGCCAAATTTACTAATTGTGTAAAGAAACGTTTTGGGCAAAAAACACTACAATACGTTACTACAATGCTGGACAATTGCTAAAGGTGGATCACAAATGGCTGCATAGTGAATTAAAAATTCGGCGTGGTAGAATTCCAAGTTAAATTAAATAATGTCAGAATTTTAGGACATAAAACAAATTATGATTTATAGCGGTTAGAAACCCAAAAGGTTTGAAATGAGTTCAAGAAACAAGAAAGTCGTTTCGTGATGAAAACGTGAAAATGAAAAAAAAATGCAAATTTTAAGCATCCTATAGGATGTCAATAGGGGTATGACCACCATGGAGGGCGATGCAAGTTTCGTGACTTCGGGGCATGCTTTGCACTACAGTATTCAGCAGCTTTTGGGGCAATTTGTTTTATTCCACTGTCAATGCACGGATGAGGATGTCCTTGTTTATTACCTTGCATTCTCAATTAACAAATCTCCTCCCCAAAGCATTTCCCATTTTTAAGATTCAGTACTAGCCATACGACACTATGAATATTATCGCTCTGTGCACAATCCTCGACTGCGACTGTTCGATGACATGTTACCGCTGTCGTCTATAAAAACAAATTTATCACCGACAGCACCACGAAGCAAGTGGACATGAGATCCCAAAATATCATTAATGTAGCTTTGGCCAGCCATAGTCCCAGTTGGGCCGGTCAAGTCGCCGAGTGGTTTGCGTGACTGACTTCAAAGCCAATGACTGCGGGTTTGAATACCACTCAGTGCATGGATGCTTCTCTCTGTGTGTTGTCCTCTGTTGTGTGTGATATGTGAATGTGGCACACCCTGCATGTGTGGCAGTGTGGCGAATGAGCAACACCTCTATCAGCTTCCATGGCGAAGAACGATAAGTTCAGTGCCAATAATACAGCCACGCGTAAAATCATCTTAAAGAAGCAGGGGTGACAAATCGAAAATTGCAAGCTTGTCTATTGATTGTTTCCCGTTAAACTTTTATTCTGAACAACAAAGCTAAATACGCTCCAAATCCTTTATATCTCTTATCAGCGTTGTTACGTGATAAACCAATTCGACAACCCAAACTTTGCAAACGCAAAACAAGTCTTATTGTATCTAGCAATTATGCTATTTTTTTTACATTTTCCTACCTTCAATTCCGTAGTTGCTACCGTTGCTAGTATCACCGGTCTTTAGCAATTGTCCTGCAGTGTATATATTGTGCTATTAAAGTAAAGCATTATCGCAACAGACCATTGTGGTCCAGGAGGATCATAAAGGTTAAGTCTCTACAATTTCGAGACTAACGACATGATTGTGGCTATGTGGTCAGCACTGCTTATCTTCCCAGACAAGTAGGTGCCCAATGATCTGAAGCTGGGTGGGCTTCAAGTCACCACGGAGAGTCGAACCCCAGTTCTTCACAATGACAATTCAGTGCCTTAACTACTGAGCCATCTCATCTTTTATCTAGTGGAATTTCCAAACTCTTAAAAAGAGTCTGGGGAAAAGTTTATGCAAAACTGTCACCTTTCGAAAAATCTCGACTCATCACTAATAGGTCTAAGCCTTTCATATAACTAAAAAAATATAAATTTTAAAGTGCTCAAAAATACATTGTAAAACAGTTTTATTATGCATCAAAACACAGATTGCGTCCGGAAAAAAATTATTAAACCGTAAAAAAAAGTGTGATTAAAAAGTTATTGTAACTTGCGTTAAATTTATTCTCTTATTGGCATCTGTTTCTCTCATTTTGAAACTCAAATTTTCCTGAATAAAAATTAACACTTTGTAAGTTTTAAATGAACAGAAAAGTTTATGTAAAACATTGTTCCGCTTGTGAAATTTACATAAAATCCTGTAATCAGTATGAAAGAGAAAATACAGGAGATTGTTGTACAAAAAACTGAAAATACACCTTTATTTTGAATCAAACTATAAATGCTTTTTCTAAAATAGAAACAAATCTGAAAGATATACGTCCTGAATCTATAAACGCGATAATTAACCAATATTTTAGTCTGAGAAATAAGAACAAAAAATTAAAGTTATAAAATGCATTGCATAATATTCTAAAATAATTCTTAGCTCAAGTTAACAATAATTCGTTTTTAAAAAAAATTTTAAAAAAGTTTGAAACAAAGTAATTGCGAGTACCTGGCAAAGTTGGTTTCTTGTGTCAGCTACACCTGCCACAACTGCTATAAGAGCCTGTATCGTATTTGTTGTAGATTCTGATGAAATATAATAGACTGGGGGCATTTTATCACTGATATTTGCCTTGGCGGCCATTTCTGACTGCACTTCTTGTTGATGCCAGAGTTCATCAAACCATGGATTGCGGGGATTAAACGTCGGAAGTAACCGTTGGTAATGAGCAGCAAATTCAGACACTTCTCCTACAAATATTTTATAGAAAGAAAACATATATGTATTAAGGAAATTACCAGTATTTTAACTGAGTTCAACATTTGATGACATTAATAGAATTTTCACCAAACGTTAAAATTGATAAATTACTTGGTGATACTTCATAATTAGGTCTAAAAGAATAATACTAGAACCCCAGAGTAACAAAAAATTGCTGCAGCCTGAATATTTGTAATCCTAATGATTCCGTTTTCATGTACATACACTGGTTATCATAAATTA